AAAACCGTGGGGCACGTCAATTGTCTACAAATTATCGACTTAATGTGCGATAGAAGAATCGTTTAATTCGTCGTTAAAATAGGCAGTTGGCCCGCAGACGGTCAGGAAATTACTTAATACTGTTTTCTTGCTCATGGAAATTCCAATAGTTATACACTCCATGTAAATAAAAGAGATGTTTCAACTAGTTTATCGTTGGACATTCACACTGCTGGCTGGCGAGGAATCGTTTCAACAGACAATTGACATGCCCCACGGTTTTATTTTAGTCTAGTCTATGCATATGTTTATAATTCCCACGACTGTATCTATTTTATTATTTTTTTTGTTTTTAGTACATTTATCTTAAACATTGCAATGTATGTTTAACATAAAACCGTTTAACTTAAAAATTTTTTTTACCTATTTTTATTTTCTAGTTTTTAGTTTTTATTTCGCATTCTGTTTAATTCATTTAGTGCTTCATTATTGCAAGGTTCCTTGCCCGTTAGTTTATATAAATAAATCAATTCTATAATACAAATATAATATATATTTAATTAATAAAATAGATACAGTTTTTAATATAATGTTATATATTATATAATATTTATTTATTTATTTATTTAGTTTATTGTATTGTCCCACCAAAATCCAAAGTGTATACAAAATTTCAGATTAATCGGTTGACAGGAAGAGGGTGAAATTTGAATTACTAAATTTGACCCAAGAATAAAACAAACGGGGGTGAGCTAAATAAAACCATTTAAAAAACACATTGCTGTACAAAAAAGTAATGATTGATAAAATAGTTTATGTTTTCTTGTTTTATCTGTAAATAAATATTTTTTACGTGTGTAAAATTAACTAATTAATAAAATTTTCTGTGTTTTGGAGGATTCGAGAATTTTAGTTTTACAATTGGATGATTGTTTTTTGTATTTAAGACGTGTGTACAGGACAGGTGTCTGTCGGATCTGTTAGTTGTTTATATATTTGTTTGAAAACTTTTCGTATTTATTTTACTACACTGAATTTAATTTGTATAAATTGATAATAGAATTGACATTAGAAATTCCATAATAATACGAATTAAAAACTTTTAGTTCTTAGCAACGGTTAAAACACAAGATCACTGTGATTTAAATAATAACTAAAATTTATTTAAAAACAAATTACATTTCAGAATTTAATACAGATGATGGACTCTAAGACATTCCTGTGTTAAGAGAGAGCACTCTTCCGAGGTACAAAAAATAGGAGAAATTACCAATAAATTCAACGGATTTTTTGAAGGATACGTGTTAATAAACTATATTTTTTGTCAAAAAACATCTATGATCCGATATCATTTATAATAATTATAAGAAGGGGGTGTGTTTTTTTAAAAGAATAATACAATATGCTGCAAATCCGACTCATTTGAGCGCGACCTTGCTGAACCGCGTGTGGGTTCGAAAAGGGGGGTACAGAACCGCAAGGCGGCCCCGGGGGGGGGGAAAAGGGGGCGGCGGGGGGGGGGGAGAAAAAAAAACGGGGGGGAGCTCTTGGTCTGCAGCGCATTGAGGCTAAATAATAAATCGTCAAATTGATAACGTCCTTTATTTTTATACAGTCGGTTAAAATTGGCCAACATAACTGAGTTCATGCGTGGGCATGTATGGACGTCTTTTGTTATTGAATACAGTGCTCAATAATTAATAATGTTATTAATCTTTCTATTCTCATAGTTTAACCTTACAAAATAATTAATTGAATAACCTAGAACACAAATAGCAATCTAGAATAATGTTCAAGGAAAAGCTATTATCGTTGTAGCATCTACAATACAACACAAATCGGTTTTACGATGATATTCATATATTATAGATTCACCTTTTCCAGTATTTTTAACGACAGAGGAATCCAGTGTGTCCAAAAAGGCTTACTTCGCTATGGTTATGGTACTTGTTAGAATTAGAATTATAAATTAATGCAATAAACATTTTGAAGTAATAATTAGTTGACTCAAAAAGCGAATCTTTTTATTTTGTGAATGTAACAATATCAAAAAAAACTTTGCTTTTTATACATTCAAATACAATACAGATTCATAACTAAAAAGGTCGAGAAAAAGGTCGTTCCAGCAGTTATAAGCTACCAACAGTACTACAGTAAAAATATATTGATAATGGCAGGTGGAATACTACGCGCCTTGAACATCACAAGGGTAACAAGAACTTTAGTGAAGTTTTAAGTATTGCGACATTTTCTAAAAATAACGCGGATTATCCGCTTTTAGGTTATAAATTTACAGAAGTAATTAAACGTTTAAATATAGAATATAGTTAATATATATATAATATAATATATATAATATAATAGTTAGAATATAATTAACATACTATATTATGTTTTTTTATTCCTTAGGATGTTTGCTTGGTAGATATCGCTTTTGGAAAGCCGCCCGTTGCTCTAATTATATAAAAGTCTGATTGTAGGTACTATAGTGTTTATTTATAGGCAAAATATACTCGTTTTTTCCGATATAATGTTTTTTTCATAAAACCTTGGAAAACTACAATATACAGAATTTCTTTATAACATGCTCCTGCATATTTTTCACAGCAATTTTACAGAACTGAGCGATTGAAGTACACCAGGCACTTTAAATTTTAAATACGATTGCGAAATTGGCAGACGGCCATCGGCGATAACGTATTTACGATTATTACGTTAATACTAAAATCACATAATTTTCATGTGACAAAATCGAAGTCATTCATTGAGGTTAAGAAATGATCACCTTGGAAAAACATTCCATTTGGTGTTTAGGTATCTTATGAAACTAATATTTTTTTGTTTTTTTAGAGATGACTTATGACATAATTGCTATCAAAACTATTCTGCTTGAAGTATTCCTACAATGTTTTGAAGTGTGTACCTAAGCGTAGAATAATTTAATTCTTGATGAAGCGAAGTAATTTCAAACATTTGTATTTCAAATATATTATTGAATGTTTCATTATATTTTAATCAAAGTTTGGCCTGGTTAATAAATGTTTAATGTAAACTGTCTGGTTGGCTACGACAAGAAATGTATAAAAATTAAACTTGTAATTTACAAAGGAGGTATATAAAGATATCCTATAATATATTATAATTCAATATGTAACGTTTTCAAGTATTTCTATGAATAAACATTTTAAGCAAAATATATCGATGACATGACACATTTACGTTGATCATGTTTTGTCTCGTTGCACACTTTGTAACTGCGTTGACAATTTTAATGTAACAGACATTTATTAATATTTGATGAATGTGATCTTTGGAAAATTTTGATAAATATAGATAGAGATAATCGAATAAGACACTGGAGTTTTAGAAACTCAACCATTAGCACCCCAAACGGAACAGATCTCGCAATAGCTATACCAATATAACCATAAAAGAATGACTTTATTTCACGTTGGTAGTCTGTTCATAGAAATTTGATAAGTGATAGCGGGTTATGTTGTGTATGAAACAATTGGTCTATAACAAGAATTTTGAATAATTTGTGTCTATTTTTGAATGGTATCAGTCCTACGCTTACACCGATACTCTGCAATTCCCAAGAGCTATATCGATTGCGATTCCGACAATGTTGTTCTGACGATGCATACAAAAACGTCGGCATTGATGTTGCTATCGTATCGCAGACGGAGACCGGTCCTGATGCAATACTCCGGAAACGTACATCCATCCTCTGGGTACTTTCGAGTTATAGAAGTTTGAAAAGCGATTTGCAGTCATAGCTTTGTTTAAAGAACATTTGCAGCAGATACGCATTAAAAACTTTATAAAATATTCTGCTCAAAATCTAAGCAAACCGTCGTAATAATTTAAGGCGCTTTGAAAGCCAACATAAACGAAATATCGTTAAGGTAATTTATAAAATAAACAGAATTTAGTAAAGGGCCGCCATTTCGTCAACAATCAAATAACAGGAGTCGTAACGGCATCGTTTTTGAAGAAATGTCCCTTTTACGACCCATCTCGGTAAGTACAACATTTATTTCTTTCTTTATCTATAAACTGCTAGGGCTGTACGAAAATTATTCAAGTCGCGGAAATAATTTGCATGGATTGCCTTGCTCTGTTTATATGTCACAAATAATACCTACAAAATATAAAACAAAGATATAAATATAATATAAATAAAACTTTAAATGTATAATTAAACTGCCTAGAAGTTTTGAGTGCTTTACATCTTGCATTACCTACACGAATTGACTGTGCTAACGTGTACAATTTTCTTTTACACAAGCAAATATATTTCTGGATAACCGATATAAGCCACATGGTTAAAACTTATTGGGCAAAATCTTAAGCCTATAGGTAGCCATAGACAGGATAAAATAACAGAATGTTTTCCAATTGGATGTTTTTCAACCGGAAACCGGGTATTAATTTTAAAGGTGCCATCCCTATTATTTTTACAACCACTTTGCAAAGTTTAGAGTCAGCTCTTTCAGTAATCTAGTTACATGATAATAGAAAACCACAATATAAAGCTATAACTTTTAGAGCTTTTGTTTCATACCATTCATTGAAGCGTTATTTTTGAATTAACAACAGCTCAGTCTAGACAATAGGCCCTAAGGGAGAGAAATGATAGATGAAGTACTCAGCTTTATTAATGCCCTTTATAGACGTAAGAATAACTGGTTTTCAATGGCTTTTGTTCTATAGTATATTTGGATGTCATATAACAAACAAATGTTTCAAGGTGTCTTCGGTAAGGTAATTTAAATATGTAACTGTTTTTATTTAAATTGGTTTAAATATAAAAATAAAATTGTTATATTAAAATAAAATTTTGTATACATTTACGTCTCTTCTATAAATAGTTAACATATTTCGACCACACTGCCACAAGCCCGGCTAGCTCAGTCGGTAGAGCATGAGACTCTTAATCTCAGGGTCGTGGGTTCGAGCCCCACGTTGGGCGGTTCGTTTTTTTTTACAGTAATGAACAAATAAAATAAAATTCTTACCTGCTATTTTCCTTTCCCTCATTTTTCTCCAGAGTTGTTCAGCTTTTCTCATAGGCCAATTTTCGATTTTCGCGCTAAAACTCCTGAAGAACTTGTACTCCTTGAAATGTGACATTCTTCTTTCCTTGGAAGGCATTTGGTTGGGAGGTGGCGACGGGGCCTTTGGTATACCAGACGGTGACGCCTCCATTTTGATTTTTGTCGAGACTTTATTCGCTTTTTAAATTCGGATTCTGTCTGGTCCCATTTGGGCTTTGGTTTGACAGTTTAATATTAATAGATATTTAATATTAGGCAATAATATATGTCGAACTTTAAATATATTTATGAAGGTAACAACATTAATATGTTTATTTTAAAATATACAATTTCTAATTTGATAAAATATTAAAACATTAACAATTTTTAGACAGATTAGTTAAGCAATGAATTTTTATTTTGGAATATATTTTGACGATTCACTAATTTACCTGAAAAGAAAAAAAACATACAATGTTAAAATCTTGGCGTTTTATTATTCTGGTTCGCTTAGACTCTGGGTTCTGGGGTGATGATATAAATATTGTTTTGTTTGTAGATGCACTATTACTAAATAAAAGTGATCTGTTAAATTGTACTTATTGTACAATCACACATTGTTTAGAGAATAAGTCAACAAGAACCACAAAAGAAGTGGTTTCCGTATATAAATGAAACCTCCTTTTACTTTTATGAGCATTTCATATGCTGCAGACATCAGTTGAGAATAAATTTCAAACACTCCTAGCCATTACTTTCAGACAGCGAATTTACATAATATCAAACTTGAGTAAATACAGAAAGCTAATTTATCATAGACTTAAATGGCTTATATTTGTTGAAGTATTGTCTAAGTTGAAGAACTTACTTCAAAGAACTACAGAATGACTCATTTATTAATATAATATTACTATTATGGCTTAAGATTTCTGTATGTAAGTATTTTTGAAGTTATACTTCTTGTGGCGCATTATGGAAAAATGATGAGAATAAATTTTTACGATGCGCGCGCACACCGTCACCAAAAACCGACACCCTGAAGTTAGCTATAGTCAACGTTTTAATTTGTTCTATTGTTAGTATTGTTTTTTCTACAAACGTAGAATAATATGTAATAAGTGTGGGCTAATTTCGTTCTCGTATAATTTTAATATTACGATGGCTGATTACTAAGCTAAAATCATGGACCCACTCGCGAGCGTATAATTTAATTAGGCACTTGTTGAGAAACGTTTACCAAATACCAACTTCAAAGTTATAAAAAGTATTTTCACAAAAAGCTTTTAAGGAAACTCGGTTTTCTTTATTTACCTTATAAGATAATTAAAATTTTCTTTCTGGATACGATAACTTTTAAATTTGGCTCCAAGTGGTAATTGCATAAAATATTTTTTTCATTATAAAATTTTACGAATCTTACAATGATTACAGTACTTTTAATTATAGATTTTATCAAGAACAAAATTTATTTTATTTTATATTCTCTATGTTCTGTATACCTTTTGTCTTTTCAGAATGTGAAACATACATGATACAAAAGTTTTATCCTGTGCTATAAATGTGGAATTTAGATATACAACAAATTTAATAATTTAGGTCTCTCTTTTCTTCTAAGTCGCGTTGGAACCCCCGCTGAACACTATAAATATTTTTATATGTGCGTAATTAAAAGTTACTTGTATAGCAAAAGAAAACAAACAAAAGAAAACCGTCATGGTTTAGTGTAACATTCAGTAGGTATATCAAAAAAGTATTGCATTTGGACAAACGGGACTAATTCTTGACTCTATATCATAATTTAAAACTTAAAAGTTGTAGAAGTGTATGAGGCACACGATTCTACAGTATCTATTAACTTTGCACCTACACTTTATTTTTATACCTTAAATAATTTATCTCTTTATAGAATTGTTTTAATAACACAAAGCAGTTTCACAGGACTGTAGTACACGTAAGACAATATAAATTTTATTAGATAATATTTGGTTTCCGTATATTCCTTCTGAAGTTTAATAATGCTTAATTGTTTATAAGTTTGATGGATCACAAAGTTCATAATTAGATTTTAGCGGTCCCCATCTGGCGTTTTAGTAATTAGTTACACTGGTGTAAAATATACAAAATAATACCACATAAAAACTATAACCTAATTATGAAAACTAACAACTTATGTTACCAATAATATCGAAGAATTGGTAAAGAATTTTAGTTGCTCGTAACTGCTGGGGTAAAGCTATTTGCAAAAAATACATAAAGCGTATTTTAATTAAAATTTAATAGCGTTTTCAAAGTCATTTCAGAGAAACTGTCTTGTAACATTAGGTAGTTAATGAAAAGCTGAAAAAACCATTTAATAAAACTTGGTTGTGTTATACAAGCGATTATATTGAACTAGAAGAAATTATAAATTCAAACTCAAAATAACTTTATTCATATAGGTAAACAAGTACACTTATGAATGTCAACAGAAAAGATGTTAAATTGATTCTAATTTCTATTGGCGAGAAAATTTCAAAATCATATATTGATTTAAATATATTTCAAGTGAAAATACGAATTGGAATACGTGTATACTTGACTACACCAAGATAAAGGATAACATTGAAACTAAGTAATTTTTTTTTTAAAGAAATTCAATTTGAGATCGATCATGATTGTCACAAATCTTTGAAACAGATAATTTTACCTATACTTGTAAAATTATCCATAAAAACAGTCCGTCTATAATTTCTATGTCAATGAGGTGTTCACGATCGATAAACTGCACCAGAATATTATAGTATTATGTCTAAAATGTCAATAGAATATTCAATAATGCAATGAATATATTTAATAATTATGGGCCTTTTATAAAATGGTTAAATAAATATCTACGTTTAAATAAGCACCTTTGCCTTCACATGTCAAATAATACAATCAAAAAAATTAATACCTTAAATTTTTATTTTTTAATTAATAGCCCTTTCGATCTAAAATTATATTAATAGATGAATGAATATTAATATTAACAATATTAACAAGCTTCCATGGTCTACATTTATATTATTTATGGAAGATGGATTCACATTAATTTTTTAATACTGGCCTCGAATAAATAATTACTCACCTCACTATTACGTCTTTCACTATTTACAATCACTTAATACTAAAACACAACACTACAGGAAATAACACTAAAGAGCAGAAAGTTTAAGCACTACGCTACGTTTCAGCGAAAGCTTGCAAAACTGAAACGTCCTTTCTAAGCAATTGAATCTACAGGTCTGAGGGACCGCATTGGCGCAAATTTCCCGCGCTAAGAGTGAAGAAGACGCCTATATAAAATACATATGTGTGAATGAGATCACTACTATTGTGTTAACGCTCGGAAAAGCTTTCGTCCACGCAGACGTCACTGAATCTGTTTTAACCGTCATCTCATGAAATAATATTTTGCTAAGCTTTTGTAATTTAAGTGGTTTAAATTATGGAAAACATAGAAAATGGGTCACGTATTCCCTAGTACAATAATTGCAAAAGAAAGCTATTTTAGTTTAGATAGAATATTGCTTAGAAAGCTAAATTGTGTGTGTGAGACCTTTCACTAAACTGATAAATAGTAAAATCCAGGATTTATGTGTTTGTTTTCATTCTTACCATTTCTTTGCAGACGCATCTTGCTAATTCGTTCGCTCGCCATAAGGTCCTTCCGTTGCCCTCCTTATTATTTGATTTAATTATTTTTATTGTACTGTATTTCATGCAACGAAGTAAATAAATAAAATAATAATAAGTGAGAATCATCGTGGTATTTGCTATCTATCCCGATAGATAATAAAGTAAAATTGAAAGTAACCATAGTGTATATGTTACTAAAAACCGGCAAAGCTTAACGACGCAATAATGCAGGTGCTTGAAAAAATATATCTTCGTCAATAACCAACGCTTGTCTAGACAGTGCAAAGTGTGTTCACTCTAAAATATACGAATGTAAAACATGAACAATGTTAAAGCTACTTACTTTTATTGTAAAGTACAGACGTTTTGTGTAAGCTGCTTATATGTAGTAATCTAACATACTTATGACATCAAACATCATGTTTTATCACAGATTTGTTTCAACGTTGCACTGAGGTTCGGGGTTCAAATTTGAATTTTTTTTTATAAGAACGGCGGCAGTCATAATACTTTACGTGTATTGCAAGTTATTATTAGTGAGAGTCAAACTGGACAGCAGTCAACGAATGTGTTCGTTTAATTATATTGCTGTCTAAAAAGTTATATGATAAAAAGGTCCAACATTCATTTATTAAAATTTAAAACTATCAATTTTTAATTTATTGTTTCATTAAGGGTTCGGACCTAGCTGTTTTATTTCAATAATTCCGTATATGGTTCTACGGCGTACAGTTTGTAGTCTAACTCTGAGTATAAATATATATAAATACAATACTGGGATGTCTTGTAAGCTCATGTTAACTTATATATTCTTAGTATTTCTATGTGGATTTGTGTATGTAAACTAAAGCTACACAATTTTTTTCAATGCACAAACGTATCCAAATACAGCCATATTTGATTTCAGTAAAGTGAAGTCTGTAGTACAAACAGATGATATTTGGTTATACGTGAACCGATTTCCAGCAATTCTTATGGTGTTTAAACGGTGGGAATTCAGATAGGGTAATTGTGTGTATACAAAGCCGGCCAGTGTGTAAATATTTATCACCATGACTTTCTTAGTGTTTATAGCAAAAAGATATTTCCGATAGACGTAATATTTCCGAGAAATATTACGCGTTATTCGAGGAAAATATATAAAGATACGTGCCCCGGGCAGTGCTTAGTTTCGCAAGTCCCCATTTCCTCAATAAATCTTGAAAGTTTTATACTTCAAACTCTTGCTAATATGGAATATTAAAATTTCTATTGCAATTTTACTTATGTCTTCTAGTATAATATATAAAAAATCAACTACAACGTACCTATGTTCGTTTTATTCAAAGAACATTTCCAAAAAATAAAAAAGGCAATTTAATAAATGTGTTTTCTTTTTTATTTTGCTGTCTTTTAAATCAGGAAAAAACGTAAAAGTAAATGTATTGCAATATTGCAGCACTTGCACTTCCGTAAAAGATGTAAGATCCAAAAAAGATGGACAACTTATATTCATTAAAATATTCAAAATCACAT